AATGATGCAAAAGTGCTTGGTTTTTGGTCCTCTAAAACAAGCAATTGGAGTTTCTCATGTGCAGAAAAAAAAGTTGAAATTTGTTACACGGTGTACATTACTGTCCTCTTTCTTGAATGAGCTTTTTATATATATGCCGCTTTGGATTGTCATGAGTTTCCAGCGTAAGTTTCTTTGCAATTGCATCTGATTTCATTCGCATGTAAAACTCCACAATTTTTTTCACGAAATCATATCGATGTCCAGTGAGTCTTTTTGAATTGTCTGAGTTGCCTGGATGATTTTCAAAGTTGGATCCAACGAAAAGACTATCAAAACAAATTTTACGTAATATTTGCAGTGCAACAGTCTCATAAGGGATCGCCTTTCCTACATATGTTTTTAAATATGAATCGACAAATTTACAAATTTCGAACGTGCTTTTACATGGTTGCATTACGTTACTGTTCCGGGACTTGAATCGGATAAAACTGTCTTCAATCAATTCGTTTTCGATTAGTGCAGAGATGCATTGCTCGCATTTTATGATCCTATTGTAACGATTCGCACCAATTATTCTCGCTTCCAACAAGCTGGCCATGTAAGCTATTGAGTGATTGTACATATCATCGACGTATTGACAACAGTCCAAAAAATCTTGACTCAGCAAATCTTCGTCTTCAGGCCATTCATCACTCTCGCGAATATTATTGGTAGATGTTGCAGGCCGATTCGATGACACGGTCAAAATTTTGGTGCCAAAGTCAATACAGTTAGAATTTTTGGAACATACCACATCGTTATGAATCATTAATTTTCGGTATGCTGATTCAAACTGCTGGGCAGTCGGATTGTCGTTAAAACCTTGAATTGTAAATAGATATAAAATCAAATCATTAGTGAAATGTACGAAATTTTACATACGGTGTGGTGTGTACATATGAGAAACAATATTCGCATACCTCCCATGCTACGAATACATCCAAACAGACTTTCTAGCAAATCTTGAGAAAAGTGATGAGTTACAAGGACTTCAATTTTGTCGGTGCGAACGTAATCATCAAATATTTTCATAAAGTTCATCATATTGAAATAAAATCCAATGAATGGTGTATACGACGCCGATGAAAATATCGGATTTGATTCGCCTTCAACTCGAATTGATTTTAGATAGGGCATTGCATTCCTGAAAAGATTGAACGCCTCGACATGGTTGGACTTCGATAGAGGCATTTTGAACCCGTTCGCACCATCCAATTTTGTAGAGTTCATCACGTCAAAACAATCGTTTACATTTCGAATAAATTTGATCGTACCCTTGGAGTTCTTGAAACTTTCGAATTTAGTCGACATAAACTCTATCGAATCGGACACGCTGTTGCTAAGTGTTTCGGCGGCCAGTCTAACGGACATTTTTTTACTCCGCCATTCCATGTGCTCCTTGGTCAACTTGTTGCCCAAATTGTAAGAGAGTTTCTTTTGCGTTTCGTACAATAATTCGATGTACTTCCATTCGATCATCTCACCATCAGCATCAATCAGATTTCTGGAGCCAAGACAATTTCTCATCAATTTCAACATGTGGGCAGCATCAAGAAAGATATATATTTTGCGATCTCCATTCGTGGGATCGAATATATGTGCATCTTCGGTCTCGAAATTCGCTCCCATAGCTTTACACATGGCCAAATTGGTGACTAGGCCATCAAATGTGATAGATACAACAATAATACCAATATCAGCAAGGCGAATGAGAATTTCGTTCAATAACGCAGCTCTCTCTTCAACTATTAAACCATTTGTCAGAAAGTACGAAACTGGAATTTTAAATTTTTCGTTGACACCGCTGACAAGAAAAACGAGAGCGTCTTTTGCCAAAGAAAGTGAGTTCTCTTCAGTAGCTGACTTGCCTATATCGATGAATCCATCGAATTTGTTTCTGTTTGGATTCTATTGTGAGTGTTGACGAATTGCCATTTCGTCAAATATAATGCCGACGTACAGTTGCTTTCCATTTTCTTTATATTCATCGGCCTTTAATTTCAACGCTTCAAATGCCTCAGTTGTAAAACCTGGTGCCGAATTAATTGACGCGTACCATTTCCTCAGGGTACAACTTGCTGGCAAATGATTTTGAAATTTTGTTCGAACATAATTATACGCTCGAGGACTATAATAATTCAATGTCAAGCAAAACGCTCGGACTTCTTCCCAATAACTTTTCTGATCTTTACCAAAAGTCAAACAATCCAAGATTTTCTGCGTTGCAAGCTGCATTTATTTATTTAAAAAGAAAGAAACAGAAAGAGGGAAATATTCCATAAGTATATCTCGAGTACAATCAATCAAATAAACAAAAGTAAAGTAAATATAAATTGCGAATAATACAATGATAAAAAACGATATAAAATGCCAAAAGGGCCGAAAAGCGCAATTGAAGACATAATTTATATTTGGAAAATCAGCATGTTCATCTCCTAGTGGCTCTTGTGGTACTCCAGCGGAACGTTTCATGGCTTGTTTTTTGTAGTACGCCAGCTGGGTCTGTAGTTTTTTTATTTCATTGGCCTTAGAATTGCATGTTTCCTTGTATTTCAATATTTGTACATCATTTTGAAGCAGACGGGCATATTCTGTGCAGCTGATAGTAATGGTTTTGGTTTTCCTGTAGAAAAATAGAAGGTCAATTACCGATTTAAAAATGAATGAAACAACTACACCGAATAACCCTTTGTAAAACTCGGTAGAACTTACTGTTCAATTCTGCTCATTGAGTTTGCGACATTGCTCGTAGTTGGGCTGTTTGGCACCTCATTTTCTTTTACTAATAAAAAAGAATTGCTGTCTTATGACCTAGCACATTTTTTTTCTTCGCTTTAACAACAGGATCAATGACCAATGATGATGTTGCCTGGGCGTTATATCCAGATCCATCAAGACTAAAACAAATGCAATGAAAATAATATTAAATTTGGATCTGTCATGTTTGATTATGTTTCATTTTTTCACTTCACGGTTATTATCACCGAATTCTTCATTCGAATGTATACATTTATTCAAACAAATTCAATCAAATTCAACCCGAAAATCCGCACAAATCATTCACAAAACACTTACTTTTGTGTTGGATTCAAAACTGGCTGAATATCAAGTAGTGGCTCTTCGTGCAAATCCATATTAATCGATTCTGCCAGCTGTTCTTCGTAATTCATAACAATCAAAATTCCGTCAGCACTACGTATGGAAAAAAATAAACAATGAGTCACAATTAAGGTAATGTCAACAGATGTGAGCGAGAGTAATAAAATAAAATCTAACAAAATTACCTCGGGAAAATTGTTGGCACTGCACCTTTTTTCAGTGTATTTCGTTTGCGATTTTTCATTATTTCAGTCGGATTGAAATGAAGCGCGCAGACTGGATATGAAATTAGTACATCGTCGAAATCTTGATGACGTCGAATCTGTTGAATCCACTTTGCCCGTGTAGCTGGATCATGTGGAACGCTACAATGTTTTCGAAATATTCATTAAATATTCTATTTAAAATAATTTATTTTTACACATAATACTTACCAAAAAAGGGTTTGTTCGCCTTTTTTTGTTTTACAATTTAGAATCTTGCAATTGCCCATATTTCTTCGCTTTGTTCCTCGTTAAACACTGAACCATTAGCGCGGTATAAACAAATGACGCACATATTCACAACAATGAAGTTGATGCTGTCAAAGGGAGCTTCACAGAGCTGCGAAAATATGCATAGATGGCGTATGGGTAGGATTTTCAATGAAATATCGGCGATTCGAGCACCCACCGGTGAAAATTCAATTTTAACATTTGTCTGTTGAGAAATTGAGGTAGTCTATTGAGGTAGTCTCCGTTATGGTGAAATTTTCAGGTCAATATGGGACTTCAGTTGTCGCTTGGCTTCTGCTTGAGGCGTTCACTGAAAGATTTCAAGGAAATTGGTAGGAAATTAATCAGAAAGTTTGCCAAAAAAATATTGTAGGAAAACTTACTTTAGACACCCAGGACCGCAGAACATGAGACATTCTTTGCCGCAAATGATGCATGCGTTTTTGTTCCTCGCTTTTTCAGAAGCCAATTGTTCCTTTAATGTATCCACTTCTTTAAGAGCAGCATCTTTTTCGGCTTTCAATTTTTCGGAGGTCGCTACAGCATCTTGAATGTCGTTCTCCAAGTCTTTGATGTAGACTTCTATATGCTTATTTTCAGCCTCCACTTTAGCCAGACTTTCGAGAGCAGCATGTTTTTCGCCTTCCAATTTCTGATTGGTGGTCTGTATTTTTAACCAACAATCCCAAACATTCGTCAATTGTGCTTTTACTTTCTTGGTATCGTTATCGCCAACTAACGATGTTGGCGTATCACTCGAAGATGGTCTTTTTAACGAACTTTGGTTACCGCCTGGCATTTCGTTCTTTGATGCATTAACTGTTTTCGTGTGCACGACTTTTTCAATTGTGGTCGTTACGTTTTTTCCATGTTCCGCTGATTCAGTCTCAGCCAGGCCTTTATGGCTTTCATCTGTAGTCAGCTCTTCAACGATATGATCTTCTGGAACCTCTTGTCGGTGAGCATTTCCAGGACTTGTCGATGTTACATTACTTTTGATCATGAATTTAATGTGCTCCCCCAATTTATCAGGATCAAAAGGCGTGTCGTCCGCAGCAAAATTGAAGTTTCCATGTACTTTCTTCATGTTTTCGATGTACTTGTTTACTTCCTTGAAGGGTTCAAATAAATCGAGAGAAAACATTACAATTGAAACAACTAAAGTAATTAAAACAGAAATTTACCCCCATTGCCAAATCGTATAATTCAGAATGCGCTTTATAATGCTGATTTCCAGCTGGAGGATTTGCCGAATAAAGGTGGCAGTTTGACGAAGGCACACAGCCATTTGTGAAATCACCAAAAAATCGCACGTACACCTTGGATTTAAGACAAATAGAATTTCAAAGAAAAATATTCCATTGTATTTTTTTGAAATATAATTACCAGGTCTTCATCGATGTTACATTTTAACATTTTGGCTGGCCAACAACCCCAACCTTCGGCCTGTGTCCACAGTAGAAGATGTGGTGGTGTGCAAGGCATTGTGGCTGAGACGTCTGGTGATTTGTATGCATTTTCATAGCACTCATTACAGAGCAGCAGATTATTCAATTCTTGGTAAAATTGTGACACTAACCATTTGGCCGCGTTAACAATCTGTTTTTGGACGCTTGGTTTCGAGTTTGCGACCTTTGACCGTATATGGTGAGCGAACCATTCAATATCATTGCGTAAATCGACCACGCTCTTGTAATCTTTCTCGGCAATCTGTTTCATGTTGATAGAATTGACGATATTTTCTGGAAATTCAATGCCAGTGATTGGTTCAACCTAAACGAGATAAATTGATCGAGATGATTTGTCAAATCTTTATATCCATTTGATAAGCAACTAACCTCTTTTTCCGACTTGATGAAATGAATTATCATTGGAATAAAACGAACCAGCGAATCTCTGAAAATGAACAAATTGAAAATATTAAAAAAAAACATCGATGAATAATTTTAAAGCAGAAATACTTACGAATATTTGTCATCTTTTTTGCACTCACAGCAAACCCAAGTGCTTGGATCAGTCACTTTAGTGTCCGTACATTTTTTGTGAAATGATCTAGCACAATTCGAACATTTCACACTTGTTTTATTTTTTGAACACACCCAACAGAACGAATCGTGTAAATCGGTTGGTGTCGACATGGTTAATCTTGAACCATTTATTCCTTTTTATGCAACAACGATATTTTGTTTTTATCTTGTTTTATATTCAAGCAAACACATACAAATGTCACACATTGGCGGTCGTTGTGTCAAATGTCAAAATGTGCTTGTTTTCATTTTGAGTTGTTGGATGGCGCTTCGGGCGGTGTGGAAATGTCAGAATTATTTTATGTGGCACCAGCCTCCACTCGGTGCACCGGGATTTGGGCTTGCATTTCTCTCTCTATTGTCCTCTGAAATATCTTTTGATTTCATATACACGTGATAGCGAACCTTCTGTTGAAGCCTAATGATTTTGTCTGATTTCTCCTTCAAAGTTTTTTCCATGCTAGCTATCTTAACTCTTAATTTAGCCAATTCAACCATATCATTCATGAACTTTTGATATTCGGCTTTCGTGATGACTTTTGTCTCTTCATTGCATCCAGGGAAAGAAATTGTTCCAGAGAAAGTTTGGTTGAGTGTTTGATGATTAGTATTTGAGCTATTTTCATCGTGACAATAATCGAATAAACCTGGAATATCATCAAGTACGTCTGTTGAGTTCAGAATCGTTGCATCACCGCTATTATCATTTATTTTTGTGGCACGCATGTTCGAATGTTCTGTACTGCTGGATTCGGAATCGAAGCTATTGTCCTTTCGTCCTACAACCGGTTTATCTTTCGCATTATCAATTTCTACACTGCTCTGGTCATACTCTACAGGGATCGTTGTCCCACAACTATTACCATTTACTTCAATGTCACTAAAGTTGGAACATTCGGAGTTTACGTTTCCATTAGTCTGACTATTTGGAAAAATTGAAGGCACTCTTCCAGATATAACGAACTTCCTCTTTCCTCTTATTTGAATATCTTCTGGTAAAAAATGGGATTGGCACACATGATACGATTGGATTATATAATCGAATGGTTGAATCTTTTCAATAGCTTCTATCCATTTTTTTCTATTTGGATCCATTGTTGGTACCCTGAAAAGTTGATTACACGCGATTACACGTGTTTGAATTCAATGAAAAGTCTACTTAAACAAAACATAATGTGTTTTTCACTGTCGTTCACTATATTTCTTCCGATTTCTTCCGTACCTAAATAAAGAAATACCCTTCTTCAAATTTGATTTGCATCCATTTATTTTGCAATTCGTCATCGTTCGGCAATAATAATATTAAATCATGTAACTAACTAAAATACTAAAGAAATTAACTCAATTTAAATGGTTTTAGACGTTCTTAACAGATTCCAATATGATGTTTCTTGTTTCAACGTATTCAACTATAAGAAGCAATCAGAAAAAATATTTGAAATTTGCCGTGCCGTTTTTGTGTGTTTTTGACAGCGCGCAAGGAAACATGGCATTTTGAAAGCAAGTGTGAAAATTGTTCTTGATTCATCAATTTTTGATGTATTGCTAAAAGAGCACATTATTGTAAGCCGAAGCCGAAGTGTTTGGCTCTAATTCTTTACAGTTGTATATAAAACAATTGTTTTTCATTTTTGTTCTAATATGAAATATTGAAAAAAAAAATTGTAAAATACAAACAACATATTCTGATACAATAAAAGTCAGTAATCTGCAGTAATCACTATTTGAAATTTACCGAAATTTACAAAAATAATATATCGTGTTGTCGGTACGAAGAAGCATCATTGGCTAACAAAACGAATTTTGTTGTTTGAACTAAAATAGCAGTTCGATTGGCGCGCTGGAACACAAAAACGGCACGGCGAATTTCAAATATTTTTTGTAGACCGAAGTCAAAGTGTTTGGCTCTGGTTCTTTACGGTTGTACATTAAACATTAAAATGTATTAAGTATTGAAAAGAAAATTGTAAAATACAGACAACGAATTCTGATACAATAAAAGTCAGTAATTACTATTTGAAATTTACAAAAATAAATATATCGTGTAGTCGATACGGAGAAATATTGGCTAATAACGAATTTTTTGTGGTTATTCAACCGTCGTCACGTAAACTCATTTGCATACAGCGCCACTTTTGAAATATCGCATTAAACCGCATGGAAATGACATATAGAATTTTCAAACCGCCAAATTCATAACCAATACTTGAGACCCAGCTACATAACACCGAACCGCACCGAACATATCGCTAAACTACGCAGTGTAATTCAAAGTGTAATTTCGAATCGTTCCAAAGTAAGTAATTTTTCTACATCAACATTGAAAACATCAACATTTCAACGATTTTGCTCTTAATAAATCATTTTTTGTGCATTTCTTTTGTTTCAATCCATAGTAGAAATGAAAGAGTGTTTCGTGCTTATTGAACCCTTAGTAATGAAGCACACCGTCAAGCAAAAGTCACCGCCTCCTCGCCGGTTGACGCGATCTTTGATGAAGAAGGAAGGCATGAAAGGTGTGAAGACACCAAACGACTGGATGTCTACAATTAACAAGACTCCGAAGAAAACCCCAAAAGTTTCACAGACAATCAAGAAACGTGTCAGCAAATCTGCTATGAAACCAAAATCAATTTTGAAGGTTGCTGCTAAGCGGGGCCGAAGCAAATCGGTCACATTTGATCCAGCCATCGATGCATGCAAAGATGATTCAAATGTTCATTCATTGCCATGGGTTCCCCGATTTGTCGATTATGATAGAAACCGCAGTAAATCGATTTTGCGCGATGCAACCATTGTCACACCAATCAAATCGGTTTGCCGACAGCTATTTGCTCCCCAAATTGATTCGCAACGCGACGAAGTCGAAACCAACGTTTCGGAAAATGGTTCAACTGAAGTGGTTCAACAAACACCTGATGACCAAAGCAATGAAGTCGAAAACAATGTTGGATCCGGAATGCCAAATGACTTAGTGGTCTCCCACTATGTTGAAGTCCAAACAGAAGATGGTACAGCTGCATTTGAAGCCAGAATCAAAGCGTTGGTAGAAAGCAACCGTTTCAAGGTCAATCGTATCAAAGAGTTGGTGGCCGAAAAAGCTGTAATGCTAAAGGATATGAACACTTTACACAACATGAACTTATCAATGGCGGCAACGATTGATACATTCCGTGAAGACGACAAAACATTGGAAAACGAAGTTGGAACACTTCGTCAACGAATTGACGCTATCAATCGTGAAAACTACGCCTTGAAGGAACAAAACCAACGCATGAAGACCATTCTGAGCACATACTCAGCAAAAGTTCTAGCCGAACATAATTACATCTGATTTCATTCTTCATAACTTAATTACATCCGATTACATCATACGTATGACACTTTGAAAAGAAAAGTCAAGTTTTTAGTTTTTGCTATGAAAAAATGAACCAATGTATACCATAATGATCTATGTCTAAATTACTACAAACAATAAAATAAAACCATTCTTGTGTGAAACTTTGAATAAATTATACGTTTATTGTTGTTTTGTTGCAATTTTGTAGACAAATTCTATAGGAAATCATCATTTTACACAACCGTTTGAACTGGAATCGTACAAAATGTGTTGAACTGAAATGACAGTTCGATTGGCGCGCTGTCAAAAACACACAAAAACGGCACGGCAAATTTCAAATAT